ACCTTTTCTTTGGTTCTTTATTCCAAACTTGGTGTCTTTCGCTATTTCTTTCCTACTAACCTGTCTCGTACTTCTCACTCTCGTTAGTGGTTTCTTCTCGTTTACCCTCATCCTATCCCTGTCAATGTTACTATTTTGCCTCCTGGTATCTGCAGTGATGATCATATCGCCAAATGATCAATCCAGCAACATTCTTTTATGTTGTGTCTATATTATTGTGTACGTCACCTACTGTGCCATTGCACCAGTACTGATCCCCAGAATGAGGAGAGCTTTTCGTTAAGAGTGCAAGTCGAGATGGATTACGAAAGCCATAGAGCTCTGTGGCTGATGCAAAGAGTGGTGTTGTCAATGTCTAGATCATATTTTCTAGGCTAATTGCTCATGTTTGGTGTTTGGCTTTTGTCTTTGTTTTTCAAGTCGTGGGTCGGTCTTCTGTTGATCTTTGTTTGGGGCTGTTGATTGTCAATCTGCCCTTGGTTGTATTCGACTGTTTTCTTTAATAATAATAATAGTAATAATAATGACTTATTTTAATAATAATTCCAATCTTCTTCCTTACAAAATATACAATTTTAAGATTTAATGTTTAAAAAATATTTCATTTATTATTCAATTTCTTATTTCTTCCAAATCATGATGGACTCAGCGTTTTCAATTTTATTCATGCAAAAAAAATTGATGACAAAAGCTGAGGATTACTCTAAAGAAATTCCTCGCACCTCAAGAATATTTTCAAATAAAATTACTCAATTTTTAAAGAGGTTTTATTGTGGAACTAATTTTGTATTTTATGAAATGGCTTTGATTTGATTTTTTTTCACTTTTGATTTCTAGATTTTTATGTCTATTATCCTAATTTTTAACAAAATCTTATTTTATTTCTTCAAATTTATTTCTTGAATTATACATTTGCATGTTTTATTTTAAGAAGTAAACGATAACCTTTATATAGAAAATTTTTTTAAGTTTCCCAATTCTTTTGGTAGAATTTAGTAATTTTCTTTACTTGAAAACTTTAAGAAATTTGTCATTTATATTTTTTAAAAAAATTTCATGATTGGTTTGATTTTCACTTACCAAAAATGCTAATAATGCAAACGCGTATATTTTTTTTGCTCAGTGAAAAACAATATTAATTATTGCCACAAAGTGACAGGTAAAATAATTATCATAATAATATGTCTAATTCTCAAATGATAATAAAGTTAAAGACATTAAATACAAATCTCAATAACACCTAATTAAGTTAGGAGGAACACACAATTACCACTAAACATAAAACTTCTTTGACCTGTCCACTCCATGCTATATTATCATAATTAATTGCAATTTTTTTTTAGCATAAGTAATATCAACATCTTCCATTCCAATCAGGCTTGATTAAATCCAAATAATTTTTTTGTTTCTTTTCTTCGACAATTTGAGTCACGGGCATAGTCCTCTCCCTATGCATCTAAGATTTAAATCCGATACTTCCAAATTGAAACATCAAGTTAACTGTCACGATATATTTTTAAGAATATCAAAATTAAATTTTGATGGTTTTTAATTAAATAAAATTATTAATTTTAATATTGTAATCGAGATTAAAAATTACAATTTAAAATAATATCAATTGCAATCACAAAATTCCTATAATTTTGCAACTGAAGACAAATTCAGCACATAATCGAAACTTTAATCACGACTGTATCTTATTTGACATGACATTTATGATCAAATGTACTTCAAACCGTAATGATAAAAGAGCTTCAAATAATAAAGTAGAGTTCAATTTAACGGTTTTTACGAACTTTCTTTTGAGGGGAATTAGTGCTTTTTATATGTCATTTCTCATTAGTTAAGCAAAAATTGTGCTAATCAAGTACTACAAACAAATTAAAGAACATCAAGTTCTTTTGCTGAACATCATAGATCATGCGATAGTGTTCTATAACTTGTTCAAGTTAGTTTGTTTACTTTTAATTGTTCGAATCATATCCTTTACTTAAAGCGAGCAATTGCAGCGGGCGTGAGTCAGGTGTGATACAACGGGGGTGTATCATGTAAGTAAGCAAGATGGTCACAAAGGCTGAACATAAGTCTCCTACATGTGTAATTAGCGACTTAATTCAGCATCATATGTTCCCGAAGCTTTGCAATGTTAATGAAACATCTTTCATGCTTTTCGCAAAAAGTAAACAAAGAAGCGAACAGTTCCAACCAATAAAGAGCTGACATAATAAAGTATGAAAAGATTGTAAATCTCTAGAAATAAACCTTCAGTTAGAGATAAGAATCCATTATTGGGACCACAGCTAATTTATGCTCTATGGCAGTACTATCCATCTCAAACAAAAGAAAAGAATGTTGTTAAACTTTATTGACAATTAATTTATACTAATTCAAGCTTTAATATAATAGGAATTTAACACACAACTTGACAAGGAGATGGCAACAAGACAATGATATGTTGAGGAGAACAAGAGCATTGGAGTTCTCACCTATGTTAAAGCAATGCTTAACTAGTTTCTGAAGTTTTCATTTCAATCTATTTCTCTTGGTAATAAAACTCAATCTGAGGAAAGGAAAGATAGATGGGGAGATAGAATCTCAGTCACGTTTTACACTCCAGTATACAATAGAATCAAATTCATGAGGGTCTTAATTAAGAATGAAGAAAAGCAGCTTAATGCGTGACTGACAAATATCAACTATTTTCCATGGCCAACGCTTTTCAATAGGGAACCATTCTCCTCTTTCTTTCTCAATCCCGCTACCACTTTAAACTCAAGCTAAACCCTTCCAAACTTCCCGGTTTTATACCATTATCATGACTGAAGAGAGTTTTAGCATCACAATTGGTCGTCCTTCGTCAATGCAGGAGAGGGTGAGGAATGCTGCTAAAGAAGGTGATATTGAGGCGTTGTATGAGCTTATTCGGGAGAAGGCAGATCTCTTGAGGGACATCGATCAAATGGAGTTTATTGATACTTCATTACACGTAGCTGCAGCTGCAGGACGCACTGAGTTTGCATTGGAGTTGATGGACTTAAAGCCATCACTTGCTACGAAGCTGAACCAGGACGGGTTGAGCCCCATGCACCTTGCGTTGCGGAATGAGCATGCAGAGACGGTGCTCTCACTCCTGAGATTCGATAAGAATCTCGTTCGTGTCAAAGGGATGAACAGCTACACTCCTTTGCATTACGCAGCAATGAATGGAGACCGTTATGTTTTGAATGAATTTCTCGAGGATTGCCCTCAATGTATCCATGATGTGACAAATCGAAATGAAACTGCCCTGCATCTTGCAGTGCGGGAAAACAATTTCGAAGCTTTACAAGCTCT